CCCCTGACCAGACAAAGGGTTGAAGAAGGAGAAGACCTGTCTCTTATACACATCTAGATGTGTATAAGAGACAGCTCTCTCTCTCTCTCTCTCATCACTTCTGTCTCTCTCCCTCACTGTCAAACCTTGGACCGCTCACACTCACTCTCTGAATGCACTTCGCCAAGTATCCCACTCTCTCTTACTTCTACCCTACGGCTATGGCTGCCATCTTCCTCCTCGATGACCCTAACTATGGCGAATGGGTGCTCTACCCCTTGTTTGACACTCAGTTGCCCAACTTGTCCAACTTCACAAGTGCTACAGCAGAGCTCCACAACATGCAAATTGACAAGCGACCCGACGAACCATTGTAGCATCTATAAATAGCAGCTTGAAGTGAATCGCCATCGGATCCGGACCGTTACCGGTCGGTGTGGCCTGTCGGTTGCAGTTCACCAGTTCCGGAATTTACCGGACTTTCCCAGGATGCTGCTGCAAAATTGGACTTTGGGCCTGTGGACTTTTCGTGTAGGGTAGTTGGCCTACGACTTCTACCGATCTATGATGCTTCAGTACCGGACCCTACCGGACTGTGACGCTTTGCCTTCTAGACCCTACTGGACTCCTAGGATCCTGGAACTAGGACCTACCAGAACCTACCGGACTGGGACCATTTGGGAATCTAGAACCGGGACTCAGGACATGGACACAGTGTGAAAGCCTTTCACCTCCGCCGGCCTAATTTCGAGGTCCTCAAAGAAAATCTAAGTCTCTACCGGTCTATAATGTTAATCCCCCTTCTAGCCATCTCATAGTATAATACAATGTTAGGAGCGATTTCCCTTAGCTCATCCCTTGTGTACCAGCGGTCATCTTCTGGTTCCGGGTTCTGGAACCAGACCTTGTACTGCCTCTAGGGTCTACCCCTTCTAACCGTCCTGTAGACGTCTTCCTCTAGGATGGGGGCAATGTCGTATCTCTCGTCCATATCTGGTGGAATCGTTGACCTTCGTGACTGGAAATTGGCATTAACGATGCAAGGCAGCAATTTCGAGGTGTGGGAGACCGGATAAGTGTGCAAATGTGCTGGTGTGTTGATTTTGTAGGATGGGCCATCCAAGTCTCCTATGACATCTAGGGTCTCCCATGGCCCTCTGTATGCAGGTAGCAACTTCTAAGAAATTCTCTCCTTAGGTAAAAATTCATTACACTTGACCCAGACTGACTAAGTCTCCAACAACAAACTTAGACGGCGTGCCACGTTTATTTGCCTGTTCTACCAAGCCTTTCTAATGTTTTCTATACGTCTCTATAGGTCTTTCTCTTTATTGTAGTGTGAATTCCGTCATGCCTAGGGGTAGTCTCTGAATCCGATTAGGGTTCAAAGTTCAAACAATTGATAGGCCTCCTAGGGCGCCATCCTTTGTGCAACCCCATTCGGTGTGCGCAGGGCGGCGAGATGTATGAAGTTACCATACCCGCTGGCTACCTTGTGTAAGTGCTCGTCCCAATGGATCTGGTCTGGCCTAATGTACATGCGTAACACTTGCTGTAGCAACTTATTCATCTGTTCCGTTTGTCCGTTTGTCCGTTTGTCTCCGGGTGTCTACCCGATGACATAGTCAATTTTGACCCATAGAACTTAGTGTTCGCCGGTAAAGCTAGTGACTCTGTCACTAACAATGCTCAATGGATGGCCATAGTCCCTTACCAAATGGCTGAAGTATTCCCGAATCACTAAGCCTGTCTTTGCTTCGGGCGGCAACGGAATAAAAACAGCAAATTTACTGAATCCGTCTACAATTACCATCGCTTGACTATTTTCGTTTCCTGCTCTTGACTTTCGTATCCATGAAGCCGATGGAGATGGAATTTTTGGGACCTGACGGTATGGGCCGCGGTTCCAGCAGTCCTAACGGGGCCTGCGTGGAACCTTTGTTCCATTAACAGACCTTGCAGCCATGAGCATAAATGATGCAGTCATGTTTCATTCCAACCCAGGTGTATGATCGAAGTAGATTAGCATAAGTTTTCCTCCAAACCGAAATGACCTTCAGAGTCATGACATTCTTGTAGGATCAGACTGTGGATCTCCTCATTGTTGGGAATGCACAACCAATGTACATCAGTTTTCTCAAATAACAGCCCGTCAACCATCCTGTATTCTGGGACTTCATGTGGGGCTTCCTTCACCTTGAGAATGATCTCATGAAGGTGACGATCACTCAGGTACGTAGCTTTGATCTTCTGTTGCAATCCGCTTCCTATGTTCAACTCGAAGTCAAACTCGTCAATCTCCATGGCCCATCAAGCCAATTTAGTCGACATACAAGTCAGAGTCTTTAACCAGCGAAGCGTTTCGTGGCCTGAGTACACTTTGAAGTGTCTTCCTACTAGGTAGTGTCGCTAATGATCTAGGTCCTCTCTTAGTGCATACAGTTCTCTCTCATAGGTCGATGTGATGACATTCTCTCTAGGCGGTCTTCTAGACATGGACTCGACGGGCCTGTAGCCATCTCCAGCATTCTCCTGTAGTACAACGCCAACGCCATACTGGCTCGCATCAGTTGTTACTATAAAGGGCAAAGATGGATCTCCTAACTTTAGGAGTGGGTACTCAATGAGACACTTCTTCGACTTCTTAAGCCACCACTTCTTTTCTCAGTGTTAAGAAAAACGAGAATATGACCTACACCGCATTCTTCGGGGGTCCCGAGGAGGCTCGACGAAAAGAAAATGTTCAGGTCCTGTGGGCCCGCTTGTAAATAAAGAAAAAAAGAAAGAGACTGCACCGATGTCAGGGAAGGTCTTGCAC